GGGGGCTTCCAGGTTGGTGGGAACAGCAGGAGCAGAGGTGCCCTGTGGGCGGGCAGTGGGGTTGGCACTTTTAAGCCATGTGCACCCATTTCCTGTGTCCCATCCCTCGGTACCTCTTTGCACAGTTCCTTTTCGCATCAGTTGTTTGGAACCACATGACTTTGGTATTAACTAGGGACCGTGTTTCCAAAAACCAGGCTTGTGGTGACCTGGGAGCTCTGACAGGGTGATGAAGGTTTTGACCCAGTTCCCATTTGTCTGAACTGCGCTTCCCTCCCCAGCCCACTGTGGCCACCTCCTGGCTGTGTGGGACCCCAAAGATGCCCACGTCCTAATCCCCCGAGCCTGCGGCTCTGTTACCTTATGTGATAAAATCACTTTGCAGATGTTATTAAATAAAGGGTCTTTAGAAGAGGGAGGCAGGAGGGTCAGAACGAATAGATGAGACGATGGAAGCAAGAGGTTGGAGTGATGCGAGGAAGGGGCCTCCAGCCAAGGAATGCAGGCGGCTCCTGCAAGAAGTTGGGAAAGACAAGGAACCGGACCTCCCCTGGAGCCTTCGGAGGAAACTGGTCCTGCCAGCACTGTGACTTTGGCCCGGCGAGACTGATTTCGGACTTCTGACCCCCAGCACTGTAAGATAATAAATACCTGTCAGTTCACACCACTAAGTTGGAGTTGCAGCAGCAATAGCTGTTGCTGGAACTTTCTGCCACAGTAAAGCAGGTTTCTGCCCATCAACAGATGACTGGATAAAGACAATGCGGTAGCTACATGCAAGGAATGCTATTCAAGGAATATTATTCAGCCTTGAAAAAGAAGGACATCCTGCCATTTGCGACAACATGGATGAACCTGGAGGACAGAACACCAGGTAGAACCAGCCAGACATAGAAGGACAAATACTATATGATTCCACTTAGATGAGGAATCTAAAATAGCCCAACTCCTAGAGCCGAGAGTGGAGTGGTGGTTGTCAGGGGCTGGGGGACGGGGAACCGGGAGGTGCTAGTCAAAGGGTAGAGAGTTTTAGTTAGGCAAGACGAGTCAGTCCTAGAGATCTGCTGTACAGCAAGAGCCTGTGGCTAATACTGGACACTTAAACATTTGCTAAGAGATCTTACATTAAGTGTTCTTATCACAAAAATTAATAGCAACAAATAGAGCGCAGGAGGAGACGTTTGGAAGTGCGGTACATGTTGGCAGCATAGATTGTGGTGATGGCTCCATAGATGTAGACTTACCTCCAAACTCACCACGTTGTATCCGTTACATACGTGCCGCTCTTTGTATGTCAAACCTCCCCCCGCAAAGTGGGTTAGGGGGGGAAAGCAGGTTTCCAGGCCTCACTGTCACATGGTTCCAAGTGTCCTGTTGTGAGGTCTCCTCTGGAGGGGAGAAAGCCTTCTCCTGAGGAATTCTAACCGAAAGCAGCCGTCCCACCGCAGGGCTGATTAAAAGAAACCTTCCTAGCAGGAAAACTGCAAGTCATTAGTTTTCAGCGTTTTCATGTGTGACAATTGGGTGGCCTGGTTCAGAGCATTCTGCAGCCTGCGACGGATTTAATTTTCTGTTTTGATCCCACGGCGAAACCATAAACAAATAGAAGCCCATTGGCTGGGCCCCCTCCCTGGCAGCAGTGCCCCTTGGGGCCTTTCAAGGTTCAGGAAGCCTGTCCTCCGAGTTGCCCTCTGGGAACCGCCTGTCTGCAGGGGTGACTGGGAGGAATGCTCCTTAGTCGGCGAGGCCGGAGGGAAAGGCTCTACAGAAACAAACCAGGAACTTGAAACGGGTCTCTCCACTGGATGCCAGGGGAGAGTTGTAATTCCTCTTCTGTGATTTTGTGCCTTCCTTGTGGCCAGACGAGAGGGGAAAGGTGAGGGCTGCCCAGCTAGAGGGACGCCTGCCTTCCATCACAGCAGGATGAAGCGGGGTGAGGAATTGCAATTGATCAGGGCAGCTGGGGTTCTCTGGAGGCTGCAGCCTCCTGGCAGGGCCTCAGCCCTGAGGTCGTGGAGAAAGGGGCTGCTGGAGAAAACCTTCTGGAACTTAGCTCTGTTCACATCCTGCCCTTGCGTAAGAACAGCTCTGATGGTTCCCCAGGTGTCAGGACGAGGCTGGGACCGAGAGGCGTGGCATTCAAGACCTTTTGTGGCCTGGCTCCTCCCAGCCCACTTTCTGTCCTCAGCCTCCCTTCCAGCCCCACAGAGCTGCTCCTCTGGCAGTTCCAGAGCTTCCAGGCGTCTGCGAAGGCCCATTCTCCTTATGAACGTTCCTCAGCCCCAACCTGGAGTCAGGCTGATGCTGGTTGTGGGGGTGCACAGAGCTGAGCAGGACCTGGTCCTTTCCATCCCTGCCCTCAGCCAGCGGGGGGGCCTGGAGGAAGCAGATTTCATAGATGCTGAGAGGGGCCTGTGAGGCCTGGACCAACACGGCGGGAGTGAGAGGGGTAGGCAATGGCCAGGTGGGTGCTAAGGAGACGGCATGAAGCTGTGATGGGGACCAGGGGTCTAGTCTTGTCACCTGCCTCATTTTGGTGAGTTTTGGTGTCATCTGTGTCCTTCCCCCAGATTGCAGGCCTCCTTTTCAGCATTGTCAGCCAGTGACCATGTCAGGATCTGGTGTCTAGAAAGGGCTTAATAAATGTTAATTGACCAAATGGCTTAGAATTGCCCCATCCAGGTGTGTGTGTTTTTTTTTAACTCCCGCCCCCCCCCCTCGCCCCAAAGCATCACTTAAATACAGTAAAAGGCACACACTTGACGAGTTCCCCTGTATGTGCACTCTCACATACCCACCATTCAGATCTAGAGAGAGCCCAGGTGGTACACCCACAGGTGACCACTCTTCTTATTTCTCCTCCGCAGAAGGTGACACATGGTCATATGCCGGTCAGTGCCTCAGGTTATATCCGCTTTACAGGTGAGGCGAGTGGAGCGAGGAGGGAGAGGGATTTCTCCTCCGCAGAGTAGCTCTGCCTGCTCTTGTAAACAGACTCACTTTGTATAGACTGTTTTGTCTTCTTTCATCAACATTATGTCTGTGAGATTCACTTATGTTGCTGCAGGGGTCAAGTTTGTCCTTTTCTACTGTGTGAATTCAATACTTTGCTTATTCATTCTCCTTTTGATGGACATTTGGGTTGTGTCCTGGTATCCAGTTTACAGTCTATCGGCGAATAAGAGCTGGAGAACCTCAGTCTGAACCTGCCATTTTCAAATGAGATTGAGGCTCAGAGATTAAGGGTCACCTCAGCATCACAGGTAGAGACAGTGTGAGACCCCCATTTCCTGGCTCATAGGCCAGTGGTTTCCCCCCCACAAGGGCAGAAATACAGACTCCAGAGCTTCCTCAGCAGCCAAACCCAGCTGGTGCCTCTTTACTGGGCTTAGGGGGCGCAAATCCACACAGAGCCTGACGCTTGGCCATTGAGGGCCCTGGGAAGTCAGTCACAGAGGCCTGGGCAGTCTCCACGGTGTCCGAGTTCTCACCTTCTGACCAAGAATGACAGCAATAATCAGCGATAGCAGCTGCCTTTCTCCCTGCAGTTACTGTGAGCCAGGCCCAGTGCGGGGCCTTATCTGCATTATTTATCTTCTTATTCCTGCTTCCTTTCCATGGTGCCAGGGAAGTGGGTTCCCAATTTCCTCTCTAATTGTCGTCACTTCCCAAAGCAGGGGTAGAGTCCTCCGAGGGACCCTGCAGGGGAGGGGGTGTGGACGTTGCTGATGTGAGGTCCTTATCATTAGATCATCATGGGGTGATGACCTATTGTCTGGCTGGGGCGGATGTGAGAGGAAGGCGGTTAGTCCTGGGGAAGGTGGGCAAGGGCTGCTCTTCCAGGGGTGGAGCGTGCCCCTGGGTGTGGGCAGGGCCCAATACGCTCAGTGGGGGCCGGAATCTTCTCGATTAGAGATGACAATAGATGACAATGTGTGTGTAGAGCTCACAGAACACAATGGACATTCAGTTGGGTCATCCACCCAACGCCTAATGACAATCCTGGGAGGGGGATGAATGAGTGAATGAGTGTGCATAAAACTAGCTGCCATAGCCCACTGTTCTAGCACCCCACAGGGTTTAATCATCTAATTTTCACAACAACCCTTTTGGTCTTGTTATCCTAATTTTGTATTTGGGGAGTGAGGCATAGAGAGGTTCAATCCCCAGTCCAAGGTGCCTCAGGTTATATCTGCTTTACAGGTGAGGCGAGTGGAGCGAGGAGGGAGAGGGAGGGACCTCTGGTCCTTGTCCCGCTCTTGTTCACTGTAACCTGGCGACTGAGGGTGCCCTTGGGGTGACGCATGGTCACATACAGCCGGGAGCTGGACGGGCCCTCCCTGTGTGCCTGGCCAGTCACAGCCATAGTTCTTCCCGTGCACACCCGTGTATTGCACTGTGCTGCATTTCTTCTCTCACATGTTAGATATAATCTCTAAATACTGGCAAGTAGTTGTATAAAGAATCCTCTTTATGATGGACTTTCATTCTAATCTTCAAGATGCTTTCCTATGCAGAGTCCAGGTAGAGCCAGTGGTAAAATACGTTAGAATTTGGATGTAAGCATCCTAAACTTGCTCCTTCCAGTACACAGTTTATGTACATTCAGTTCTTCCACTGAACTCACTCATTCACAGACATTTCGCTTATCACCCACCTGATGCCAGGCGCTGCTGCAGAGACACAAGCCAAGTGGGTTTCTGCTATCAGAGACCAGGGAGATAGAGATGGTGGTATGAGCCCACAGATGCCCTGGAGTGGGGGGTGCCGTGCCTATAGTTGGGTGAGCAGAGTTTTGGGAACTAAAAGGAGAGGGTCAACCTTGTCTAAAGGGACAGCAAAGGTTTGAGAGAGGAGGGGCCAGGTGGGGAGAGTGGGAAGGGGCATTCCTGGAAGAGACTACTGGGGCCCAGAGGCCCAGTTGGGGGAGGAGCACAGCTCAGCCTGGGTAGGGGATGGCAGGGCCCACATTCTTGGGGGAGCTCGGAGAGGGGCCACCGAAGGGCCGACAGGGCTCAGTTATGGAGACCCTCGGGGATGGCAGCTGGGATGGACTTTGTACTGTCCAGACCTCATTCCACACTATCTCTGCACTTTCTTTCTTCATTCATTTGTTCATTCAACACATATTCACCCTGTGCTACATTCGGGCCAAGGCCAGGGAGACAGGAGCCCAGTGGGTCTGCCTGCAGCCATAGTTCTAAGCAGCAGTTAGACCAGGTGGGTGGACAACAGCGCACATCTGCACAGGACGCTCCCTGCAGAGGCGGCTCGGCTTTGCTGGGAATTCTCACCGAACCCTGGCTTGGCGATGACCTTGCAGACCGTGCCTGGAGAGGTTGTAGGGCTAAGGCTTTCCCTGACACCTTCAGCCCTGTGGGCCGTAGAAACCTAGCCCTGATCATGGCATGAGGAGGCCGTTCCCTCAGCCAGACTGGTTTCCCAACTGTCTGACTTCTGGGCGAGAGGCAGCACTGCTCTGGCCCTTCTGCTGTATTGCTGCCCGTCCCTGTGTTCCTGCTCCATCTGCTGCGGAGGAGGCGGAGGCCCAGAGAAGGATGGGCCTGGTGGGAGGTCACAGAGCCATTCCCACCGTGGGACTTCCCACCAGGGCTCTGGGAGCTCTTCTTAGGAAGAGCCCTGGGACCACGGGTTTATCTCAGGGAAAATGCAGGTTCCATGGTGTCTGACCCTTTTCTCCACCTGCTAGGGCTTAATGAGCTGCCAACAATTAGTCCTGGTAGCCAGGTGCCCCTAAGAGGCAGGAAGGAAAGGTGAGGAGAGGTGGTGATCCCAGAGAAAAGGCTTTGTAAACAGCAGGATTGAATTCGGAATACAGTGTTCATTCCCCGAGTCAGACTTGCTTCAAGTTGC